GATTTAATCAACATCGAGAAGTAAAAAAATAATAGTCACAGAACCTGTACGGCAGGTGAGAAACTTACCATATACGCTATTTCATTTGTTTTTGGTATCGGAACACTGAATGGTGCAACTATAAAAACTGATAATAAAAATGTAACATAACAAACAGAAATAACATTGAATGTAATAAACGCTGTTTTAGCAAACAGTCTAGCTCCAAGAAGACATAACAACAACAGAACAACGGAGACTAATACACAACATAGAAATTTCCAGCTGGCGCTAGATGGCGAACCTGGAATTGCACTATATTACATATATATTACGGCCACATTATATATGCAGTTTCTTACTTACTTACTGTGTCTATCTATGCCAAAATCAGAATGTTTATCGAAATATGATACAATGATCATATATATGATCATTTTATTTTCACCACAAAATATAATCCCACTAAATGAAATAAAACATACTCTCTTCACCAATACTGCTTAATAAAGCTTCAGTAAATCCAGATATATATAAGGCGCAAGAAAAAACATTGGCGATATAAAATAGTAATCCAATGGCACCGCCAAACTCTGGTCCCAATGACCTGCTTATCATATCTAAAAATAAACCGTATTCTCCAAAATAATGAGAAAAAAAAGATAACAACTTACAATAAACTCCACCGCCTTCGATAGCACCATTTGAGGAAATAGCGCACAGTGAAAGGACAGTTAACATAACGATTGCATATGCAAGGAAAAGTTGCACAATTGTTTGCAGGAAACCCAACTGACCAACAACGAAACCTTGAAATAGTTTATTTCTTTCTTTAGAAACAAACTTTCCCACCCATGAATTTTTGCTTTCAGCAGTATATGTCTTAAATAAAGATTAAATAAAAATTAAACAAAAACCAAACTCCAAAAAATTAGAAATAAAAAAAAAATTTAAAACAGCCTCATGATTTTGCGTATCAACACAAATAAATGCGCGGAAGTTTACATTAGCAAACACTGATCAATAAAGGCAATCAGAATCGTATACGCAAACTGATTTCAGCCACAATTTCTCTAAAGATGTAATGTCAAAAACTTCAATCAAAAGATCTACCCATCCGAAGAAAGAGCAAAACACTGAACATCGAAATTGCCACAGGCGCAAAAACACCGGATAGTGTGGATAATCCATTTGGTTTAGCAGTATTTACGAAATCCACAGAATCTATAAAAAAAAGATTTCGGGATCAGCAATAAAACAATGCCATTCAATTGACTGAATATATTAAAGATTTAATCTCACCGAGCTATTGCTCTCGGAAATGAAAACTTACGAAGACAAGATCGTTCTTCGGTATACATTTGTGCTGTTCCACTGCTTAATCTCGTACCTGGATCTGTAAATTTATTTTATTTAAACACTTTAAAGAATTCTAAAATTTAAACAAGATCAAGCAAAAGATGAATAGGAAAATACTACATTAAACAAGAAATGAACTTCAAAAAAATTTAAAAACAAAGATTTATTAAGAAAAGAGAAAACCGTTAGTAGTTTCATTTTCAAATTATTATAATATGGTCTCACTATATTTCAAATGTCCAATTAAAAGGAACCGTTAATGGAAAAACATGCTAATGATCATAGAAAGTACTACCAAGTCGCAGTTCTTTCAATGATACGAAAAAACTATTTGATGGAAATCTATATTGGCTTTCAAATTCTATGAGTCAGTGTTGAGTGCTTTTATTCTCATTCATCAAAATTTACTGCAAAATTATTTCTTATTTGCATAAGAACAACAGATTCATAACGCAGTGATTAAACCTGACTTTAAGATCCTTTTATTATCTACGAGATGCAGCATTCACAACAGGTATTCACACGGAATAATCTAGCAATCTTAGTAATCCTGATATATTTCATAAACTACAAATTCCATTGTAAATAGAAATCCCAGCACGACTGGTGAGATTGCAACAGGAATATTACATAAGCCAAAATTCCCAAATTAACGACATGTAAGGTTTTTACATGCGTCCCATATTCCACTGTTATGGTTCGTCATTCTGATAAAAAATCCGTTTATAGCACTTAAGCACACAAATTCCTTAAACAATCCTAAATATCCGTGAACACTAGCTTTTTACATTAGTACTGATAAAGTAAATTTATCACTTACGGCTAAGATAGATCATGAAGTGTGTTCCGACTTCCAAGATAACTACTTGACCTCACATTTCTCCATGCTTCTCATTATCTTATGGGTAGTCCTACTGTTCGCATACACGAAGAAAGATTGCATTGAGGTCTCAAAGTTTGCATTTGTTACTCACTTTTTTTTCAAAAGTTTTACATTTGCCTTAAGGTTACATTTTTAATAGAAATTAAAAGTGATATAAATCTCAAAACAGTTAACGTTCACTTTCTGGTAATGCTGCTTGACGAAATTTAGCCTTTATATAAAATTTCTTCATTTAGTAAAGATCATCTGAGAACTGATCCAACACGTAAAGTAAAAGTTAGGCTGAGACAAACTATCAGTAAGTACCATTAATAACTACCATCTGCATATGCATAATTCAAGGATGCAAAGAAAGTAAAGAAGATGCAAAAATCATGAAAACAGTAAATTCTCTCGTACCCATCATAAGTGGTGCTTTATCCGGTTTTCTACTTCCATCACTAATAGGAGATCCATTTGTACGTGACTGCATTACTGATTCGGTCGCATTCCTTGGCAGTACGCCACCGTATGATGTCGTTGGAGAAATGTTATCATTGTGGACTTGTATACGATCATCCATTCACCTGAAAAGTACACAGAGTTCACATTAGAAAATCGATAAGTCAAAGATTTCATTGATTCTGTGACAACATCACAGTTACTTCATACGATGTGCCCTGTCATATATGACACACATTCTTGTACATAAGTTCATGCACACAGTTATAACTTTTCTCGCAGCAAATGCTAATTTCAATCACTGAAGGTAGTAAATCTCGGCTAACAGCAGCATATATTTTTGTCTACAAGTAAATGCAAAGAGGTGGGGCAGATGAAATAACATCACAGCATTAACTCGCTGAATGGCGCAAGTGACTTATGATATTTAATTGCGATAAATGATCTCTTCTTTCCCTCTTCTCTCCTCTCTTTAAGAGTACGGCTTAAGGATGATGAAAGTTCTAACTTGGATGTTACGGGATAGCTTAGCCTAACAAAGAGGTTGATATACTACTGTGTTTCGAGCTAGCTAGCTAAGTATTAATCAATTATAGTTCCTTTTATAGAAAAACAATTCAGCAACAATTAAACAATTCACATGCAAATCCCGTAGAAACCATCTTTCTGGCGATTTGAATTTCACTTAAAAGTTAATCGTAATTTAGAGGAACAAAAGAACTAAAGGAAATTTCATAGAAACTGTGTAATCTCCCTCCCCTTCCCCTTTTCTCTCCATAACACAGTCTGTTTTCAATATCTAGGATTTCACGGTTCAGTCGCAATACGATCTACTTATTTTTTATCGACAACTTTCTTTTATCATTCCCGAGAGAATTTGGTGCTGTTAGCGAAGCAATTGATAATTCATAAATCGAATTCTGAAAAACAGTTTCACAGCTACTGAGTTTAAGGTCACTATGTTACAAACAAATAATAGATATACTGATGATTATCACCGGTATAAAGAGATAAACATTAATCCTGCAAAAATTAGTTTTTCTATTTCCAGCTTATTCTTCAACCATTTTCATTATATTGTTTTATCTAATAGGCACTTTAGAATTAATTCATTTGTTTATGTGAGGTTGGCCAACTTCTACTAAGAGTTCCTGCATTTTATGATCGGAATCATAAGCAAATGAAATGTGTTATAAGTTTAGTGCATGGAAACAGATAAAGGATACGACTGTGAAACGAATGAAGAGATAAAATATTGTTTTTTTTTTTTTTTTAAGTCTAATGAATGAGACATGAAGAGAGATGTGAATCTTTTGCTCCAATATTTTTTCTCTTCAACTGTACAGCGCAGGTAATAACAATAACGACAGATTGTCAGGGGTGAACCACCGTTGTGACACTGTTAGGGAAGATCCACGCTACTGGCTTAATTTAAATTAGAGTAGTTCGGTCGATCAGTCACTTATTGAAGGCATTTTTATTCAATCCTAAGATATTGGCCGAGCCATCTTTCGGAAAAGGCATTAGTTCAGTGACCTTCAGCCCAAATCAGAAAAGACTGTCTGTGTAAGATTGCTTCTAGTTCAACTTTTCCAGATGTTTGGTTTCACTGTACTTGGAAGTATAAATTAGTAAATTATTTTTTATAACATTTTTTGCTTGGTTAAAAAAATTGATTACAATCAAATATCTTAATCATACAGTACTAAACATTATTCCGGTAGACATTATTCTGCTTCTCTTCGAGAGAAGAAACTGATTCATAAAAAAATGTCCTTTTCACAGTTTTGCTTCTCTTCTGTAAAATTAAACTAAAAATTAATGTAAAAATTGTTTCAATAAACATGATTTTATTTCATATCTTTTTAATAGCTTTGTTCTGTATAGAAAATTACTTTTTCATAATAAATTTATATTTCTTAGTAAACTTAAGCTATATTTGCAAGTAATTTCGTAAAGTACGTGTAAATTTCTGATAATGTGCCATCATTGGACCGTTTGTGCCACATTTAATAATCTTTGATTTAACACAGTGATATCATTGAACAACAAACACATTAAATAAACAACAATGATAATAGTTTAATTTTACCAACAACAATGATAAATGGTATCTTTTCTTAATTCTGTTTGAGAATTTGATGGTGGTCGTGAAGGCCTTGATCTCTATGCATATACTAGAATGGGACATCAATAAAAAACATTGGCTGTTGTTGTACTGGTAGTGTATGCTTTATCATAGTCCACATCCATCAGCAAGGCTTGTCGACAAGAAAAAAGAGCTTTCTCTTTTCTCTGTGTATTAATTCTACAGTGCATTGCGCTACGCTATTAGCAGATGCGGTTAACCCGTGGCCATATGGCCTCAACCTTTATCGAAACAGTTAATATCAATTTGGAGGATTTCTCTGAAACATTTTTGACCTGTGCTACATGCTTGTGCACTTACGATCAGGTAAGTGATTTATATCACTAATTAAAGGAACCTGATTGAATAATTTTTTCCTAAAACTCCTCATAATTGTTGTTTTGAAGTCTTAATATAAAACAGACATGCTTATATCAAATGATGCTAATTCTTATTGAAACAAGTTAGCAGAAATATCTTCAAAAGCAAAAAATTTTTTGGTTTAGAACTCTTTAGTGCTCTAATTAGGCGGATTTAAAAAAAATATATATATAAATATCTATTCAATAAAGAAGGCTTTTCCTTTTTCTTCAGGAACAAAAAAAAGCGAAGCTTCTTTCGTGTTCTCATACTGTGTGTTTGGAATGTCTGCTACATATGGAGCAGCTGCCGCAGGTAAGTCATAAAAAGGGTAATTTCTGCAGGATTATAGTTAAAAAATGAACTGAAAAGGATTAGACACTGATTTTATTTCAGCATATATTGTTCCTTATTTTATTACCAACTTGACAGTTAATGCATTTTTACCTTTCCATTTATACTTTAAAGGACGGGACTAGCAAACTCGGCATTAAGTTTTAGAGGGACGGAAATTGGTGACAAGGAACTGTTTGTCTAGCGAACTTCTACAAGTCAATAAAGAAATGCATTTTCTGGATGAATTTTAGGAGCAAAACTATTGTAGCAATGTGAATCACACATTCCACTTCATTGCATACAAAGTGGTGAAATTTTTTATGCGTAATACTGATAAAAGATTTAGTAAGGTCACTTTTGCTCAATGTATTTTTCCGTACGATAAATTACAGGTGATTGAAACAGGTGTCGTGCGTTGTCCTCTTTGTCGTGAGATGATTACTATACCTTCGGGTGGCTCGAATGCATTCCCTTCTTCATTTCTCATTAACCAGCTTCTTGATTTGATGCAGAAACAGCGGAAAGACGTTGTACCCAACTGTTCAGTACATCAACAAGAGCAACTGCTCTATTGTGAGGCATGCGATCTCGTTTTTTGTCAACATTGTGATTCTCTTTCCACGTAAGTACTTATGGCTCCTCTCTTTTGCTTTACTGTTGTTTATCATGAATATACTTCTGTCAAACTGCAAAGTTCCACAAGATATCCGTAGGCAAATAACAAGAAACTCAAAGTTTAGTGATTTGATGCAAATCCAATTTTTTATCCACACAAGTTGCACAATTGCAGTGTAATGGAAATATACATTGAAATATAAGATTTTATGTCTTCAAATATTTCTTCTAGACCTACCATATTATTGTTGCAAAAATTTTTTGGTATAAATTTTTAGGCGTGACTGCTCTGATCATACAGTAATTCCTTTTTCGATTGCAATAAAGCGCCTATCGGAAATTGTTGTATATAAAGCGAATCAGTGTGTTGCAAGCTTGAATACGGCTGCAGCTAATGTAAAATTCGAGACTTTGCAGTTGGATCGAAATGTTGATAATGTCGTAGATGGACTAAATGCATCGTTTCAGGTAAGCATTGAATTTATTATATCGTCATTTTTTTGCAAGAATCTCCTAGAAACTGGGGGGAATGAATGAAATGGAGAAATGAGACAAAATCATTCGTCAGTAAGAGTTCTCAAATTTAACAGGTAGTGAAACGGAGAAAGGAGAAGCTACAAGAATCGAAATAGGGTAGCTAGGTTCTAATGAATCAGTTTACAAAATAAGGTTAATTGTCGATCCAGTTAGAGTGCCGGTTTTCAGGAAATATGTCAGTTGGTGGAGAATCGACGTCGTGAGCTGATCGATGCAGTTCGAATGATGAGGGACGAAAAACAGAAAGTATTGCGCGATCAGACAGAATTGATTGATTCATACCGCAAAAAATAATAATTTGCTTTTTTTTTTTCTTTAATGGGGTTTTGCTGACTTGACTCATTGGTCAGTCGATCTCACGTATTGTATAAATTCTATTTTTGAAAAGAATTTGGACTAATTCCTTCTGCTTCATTTTATCACTAGTGAATTCAAATTACACGGTAATCAATGCTTTTGTAGGTTAGAAAGAGAATTAGGAATTTGCGAAGTGGATGTACGTGAAATAGGAGTACGTGCGAGACGTGTTATGGCAGCTACTGAAGAAGCACTTGCTCTAACAGAACCTCGTGAAAACGCTTTCTTGAAACTACATATGAATACCAAAAAACTTCTGTTTGGTGCGTCATTTCCTTCCACATATAGGGTTGATGGCTTGTTTATTGCGTCCGTTTGACAATTTTCAATTATAAGCAATATTTCAGAGATCGAGAAGTCACTTAGTCAGTTTGGCGCAGTATCCGGTTCAACAACGTTTCCAGGACAGTGTGTTATAGATCTGCTGGATACATCCGGTGTATGTACGGAAACCCATCTAATGTTGACAACATACGATGTTAGCGGTAAACGCCGAAATAATGGTGGTGACCCAGTAAGAGTAGAAGTTGTGAAGGCGAAATTGGGACGGCAAACTTCAGGTGTTGATGAAAAAGTTGAAATAATTGATGCAACAATAAAAGATGAAGAGGATGGAACGTACTCCATTTGTTTCAAGTAATTTTTCCTTTTTTTCTATTAATTATTTCATGACATAATTTTGCTTAACATTCTGGAACATGAATCTCAATAGCGTCTTTTGCTGCAATGTTAAATATTATTACTCATACATGCTTCTAAAACTGTTGAATTATTAATTAATGAATTTTAATTACCCAAAAGTTCGTGTTACAACAATTTATTAATAATAAAATTTTTGAATCGTGAATTATTTTTTTAGAGCTTACGAACCATGTGAATACTTGATTTGTGTAACGATTTTTGGTCGGCCAGTAAAAAATAGCCCTTTTTCCGTAAATATAAGTAGCCATCATTGCCCAAAATGGCATTTCGGGTCTCATGGAGCAGGACCACTTCAGCTGAATCAGCCAGTAAAAGTATTTCAGGATATAAGGGAACAAATTTATATTCTGGATACTGGCAATAATCGAAGTTAGTTTTAATCTCACAGCTCCTTTTTGATCCGAAAACTTTGATGAAATAGTACTAGTCCAATACTCGTAGAACTTCTTAATTTCATTGCTATTTTAAGCAAATTCATTTTTGGATTTCTTTTGTGAGAAACAATGTTTCAGTTCATATTTTTCTGTTCAGAGGAGTTAAAATTTTTTCAGTAAAAGTTCTGAATGTAAACGGAGAATTTCTGAGGGATATGAAAGGTGAGGGAATCAAAGGTGGTAGTACCATTGGCATGTCAGTTTTACAGTCCGGTGATATTTTAACCTTAAATTGGAGAACCAAGGAATTATATAGATCTGATTCTTCTGGAGAACTTCTTCAGGTTCCTTTTGACAGTGACAGTTCTATTTTTTCTTATATTTTTTTCATTTCATCAGTATTCCATGGATCTGTTGTTAAACAATGTCAACAGTGGTACTGGTAATCTGATTACAGACCATGAGTTTTACCGAATTTGCTGAACCTGTTGATCTTTGTGTTGATACCCATGGACGATACATAATTGCTGATACCGCGTGTGCTAAGGTAATTTGACGAATGTAATTTTTATTGATTAGTGTTTAGATAGCACTGGCGATAACCGCATAAGTCGAACTGTAAGGTTACGCCGTTAAAAATTGCAAGTTTTCGTTTTGGTCTGCTTGGCAATTAACCTCGCAAAGTAAATATTGCAAGTGTTCAAAGAATGTGCTCAATTCTAAATAGTAGGCGGTTAAAGACCTATATTTGTTGCTTTATTTTCTTTATTATTTTAAACAAATAGTCTAGTGAGTTGTATTTGGAAATATTCTTTTTTTCAGGAAATATCTTTTTTTTTCATTTCAGGTGTTTGTTTTTGATAGTGCATTTCGTCCACTGTTCAGCTTTAGCGTGACAACTCACGCAGGCCTGTCCCCCATAACATGTGTTTGTATAGGTCTTAATGATGATATTCTTGTGGGTACCTGTACTGCTCTACTGTTATATGACGGAGGAGGTTTATTTCTTTTTTTCGTGAAACTTGAGCTACTTCACGTGCACTAATTCATTTCTGCTTTTTTACATCATTTAAATTGCGTTTAATGAAAAGGATACAGGTTAGGGGCACTGTTTCATATTAGGGAAATGTATCGTAATAGCATGTTTCCCTAGCAATAGCATTTCATAGAATTTCATTCACACAGTAAAGTTTATTTAATAGGCCGTTTTATGCGTGAAATATCGTTATCCTCAACCACACATCCTGTCCGAATTATGGTTCTAGCATGTTGTGTGTGTCCCCTAACGGGCAACATTGTTTCGGCCGTCGTGGATTCAAAGAAAAATCGAGCCTACCTCGTTGTCTGCCAGTATAAGGTAGTTTCACCTCGATTAATTGCGTTCAGTTTGAGTTTTAAAACATTTAAAAAAGCATTGAGGGTCTTTGGGAGTTGCTGCTGTGAGTGAGTTTAACTGCAGTGATGCTGGTTTGATCACTTTGTTTATGGCTTCGGAATATCCAAACAGTAAAAAATTTTTTAAACAGCATTTGTTTTTCAGGGTAATTTCTTATTTTCTATGGATAGTTATGGATCACGTCTGAAACGTCCCTGTGGTGTTTTCATTGCTTCCACACTTAAGTGGAATGGAATGTGTTTTGTTGTTGACTCAGCCACCCACTCTGTAAAGGCTTTTCGTTATAAATAGTATTTTATACAAAAAACTTCGTCGTCGTTTTTCCTTTGGAAATTCCCAAATCTTAACAATCTCGTAATAACCCATCGAATAAGGCTCTGGATTTCTTTTTTAGAAATTGAAATAACAATGATATTTAAGAAAACATTTCATTTTAATTGCCAGTATAAGTATTTCGATTTCTTGATAGCCAGCACAGTCCATCTTTTTTTTTCCGCTTTTGTGTATATTTTTGATATACTGGACTTGTAAATAAAATTTTTGCAACACTTCACAGTGAGAGTTTTGCCGTGTTATTCTAACATCCTAAGCATGCCGTGAGTTCACATTTAAAATTCTGAAATTCCGAACTCTCAATTATGCAACTTCACGTGATACAGTTAGAATCATTCATATCAATAAAACAATTGTAAATCTTCAACATCATATTTTCAGCATTAAAAAAAAGATTTTTGGAATTGGAATTTTTTCAAACGTAATATTTTAGTAATAAAAACACATACTTTACAGTGTTAGAAAAACAATCATTTTTTACTAGTTTTTTCTGCTAATGAGTGAATGCATTATGTGATGGAATATTCGTATAAAAAGTGTAAGAATACAAACAAAGTATTCCCTCAAAACATTAATCCGTAATGAGCAATTGCCCAAAGAGGTCATCAGTGGAGAGTTCGTGATAATAAGTTTGAAAAAATGAATGCACGAAAAATTATATGAGGAGATAAAGAAACAAGATTATGCAACTGCTTACTGAATAAAAAGGAGTGTCATGTATTATCCTAAACAAATAGTGCCATTACGACTAAATACTTTCTTGAGCAAATGATTCCGGGCAGAAAAAAGTGAAAGCAGTGGAACTAAGGAATTATAACTCGGTTTTTAGAGCCTTCGATTTATAATAATTAAATGTTTTTACCAATGACTGCTTAATTTGGTGAGCACAAGCATTGCTATAGACGTACAGCATCTTTGCAAATGAAATCGGATCACCGTTTGCCAGAGAACCCATCCCCAACCATACAGTGCTTAAAGGTGCAGCACCACGTCCGTAGCATGCCATATATGATTCCGGTGCAAATTCATACGCATATCGCTCAAATTCACCATGACGAAAATTCTGACCTAAATTTTTATACAAACAGTTTAGCGAAAACTGCAAACTATGTTGAAAACTAAGATTGGGTTTGGAAGTGAAAGAAACTTATGTAAAGAATGAAGTTCGAAACTAGGCAAACAAAATTCAGGATACATTTTAAATAATTAAACGACGAATAATGTTTTAAGATATGGACTCTAAATTGCGATTTCAAAGACAAATTTGGGAAAGATAGAGAAATATTTCAATTACGTGGCTTGAGTTTCGTTTAAATAAAGTACTCCCATTCTCTTTTTTTTTTTTTCTTAAACAGGTGTATTAAGTGCTGCAAATAGAATAATTAACAGAAATCTCGATGTTTTGTCATTATTCCAATAATGGATTCAAATCAAAGAATGCCGACCAACCAGAATCTAACTTTTCCAAATTGCCACTATGAGTGTTGTAAGCAGTACGCACTATTTCGCCGCTCAAAACCGTACAGGTACTATTGACCCAATGCCATCCTAAAAAAAGAGAAATCTTCATGTTACGGAAATGAAAAATTTGGGTAAGCAATACTGGATGAATTCAAACATTTACATACATCATCAAAAAAAAACGGGTTAAATTTTCGACGCAATTATTACGTCTAACAGTGGTAAAATGGGAACCGTTCAGATAAAATTATGCCTTGATATGTATATTTTAGATTTGTTTATCATCACTTCATATACATAAACCACTTTTGTTCACAACCGTGATAAGTTTGAGTCTTTAAAGCAGTACAAGATGCACACGATTGTTCTTATCCCATAATTTCTCATTTGTGCTTTTAAATATTGTGTGCATTACTGAACTAAATCTATGAATTGTGAAAAAGGATAATGCTTATATTCATTAATGCACTTTTTTTTTTGATCTCCTACTTGATTCCATCTCTGCACAAATAAGATATATGTGCTTTGCGCGAACATTGGAAAAAGTGAGTTAAGAAAAAAAATTTACCAGCAAAACCAGCTGTTCGGTACGGTGCACGAAAAACAATGATAAATTCAGTGATGGATGCGTAAATAATGTTCATCTGTAAGTTTAATCCACCACCATAAACGGCTTCCCAGTCACTGTCGATGATTTGTAATGGATATGAACGGCGTAAATCGTTTCGTAATTTATTTACACTTGTAATCCCACTACTTCCTATTATGGAGAACTAATTTGTTAAAAAAAGTTTTTTTATAAAAACCCAAATTTAAAAAGAAAACTGAAGCTTGAAATGAAGTAGATGAAGTAAATGAAAGAGGTTAAGACTGAATGGGACAAAGCAAAGAGTGTAAAGACTCTCAATTACTTAAGACATATCCAAATTAAATGGTTAATGAGGATTTTCATGTCATGAAATCCTCTGTCATATGATTTCTTCATGAAAGTAAATATATGTAAGGGACAATAAATAAATAAAATGGACGTAAACCAAGAACGTCAATTTAAAACTCAAAGGCTTTAAAACAAGACATTATACCGTGTGCTGCAATACAGGCTTGTCGGAAAACTTTCGGTGAAATGGAATATGATTTCCATCGTAGTATGTACTGTACCACACTATACAATACGATGACGAAGACCACATAACGAACCACGCGAGTGAACACAAAAGCCATCGCTGCTAAAGACTTGCCTGTATATTTTCCAGCTGAAATCTACTCGTCTCTTCAAACACTTCACACAATGCCACGTGACGTAACCACACGAAACGTCTGACCCAGCCCACCACTTTAATCCCACCAGAGCACACTAAGTAATTGCGCAAATATCACCTCCAAACCAAGAAGAGTAAACCGACACGCCTTGAAACATTACCGTGTCAGTAGGTGACAGTGTTATAATGGAAGTGCTGTGAAAATTAGTTGTGACCATAAAGGTGAACCTTGCAAAAGACTGCAAATAGATATTGTACAGCTGTTAAGCTCGACGAACAGTTGAGAGTGTATTGTCACTGTTCCAAAGCTTCTTTCTATTTTACGGCTTACCGAGCAAAAAGAGAAGAAGAATAGTAAAAATTAGCTGAGATATATTGCAGTGTAAAGCTAAACTTGTGACGAACACGGCTTGCATAATTTGCCCTTTATGATTTTAGTTAAATCATCGGTCGTACTGTCTGCAACCATTACATCATTGAGAACAGTGCTCGATTACAACTATCCTCTAATTTACCGAATAGAACAGTCAGTAGTAATCGCTGCTCATCTTCTATTCGTTGTGCAGATCAAGGTCTTTCAGTTTATATGATGCATGACCAATGAAACATTTCCTTCTTTAAAAAATGATTTGTAACTCTCCACAGGATACCTATCAGCTTACAAGGTTGCAGTACATTTCTGAAGAACGCGATGTCTTAATATCCATTTTCTTTAATTCCGGAATTCGTGGCCGCGCGCCAGATTGACATCGTCCCAATGATTCATATTTGACTGCATTTTTTGAAGATACATGGGTTCATTCATAATTTGGACGTTTTCTTCCTCTTTCGCATTTTCAAATTCTCCGAGAAATTGACCATTCCCAAGTGACGATCATTTTGTGCATTTTTTCCACAAAACTTTACTAAAGGTCAGTTTTCTTCAGTTGAACCAGTAATATTCGTTGAGATGAACATGAGAAGAACACAGCTATTGACTCCGTTACTTAGAGAAGGTTTGTTTTATTGAATAATTCTACTTTAAAAATTTTGACATTTATATACAATTAATCCCTAAGGTTACTGAATAATATATAATCTAATGGTATTAGTGGCTAAATAATTCTCGAGTGAAGTACTTCCTCATTTCCCTCGCTTCACTGGAAAAATTATTGAGAAACTTAAATTACTCCACTCGCGAATCTAACACTTTTATTGTGGATATATTTTACTCACTCAGTGGGTGACATTTTTACCAATATGCTAATACTTTCCAGATAAAATTGGAGTATTGTGGGTCAATTCGCAGCGTGAACAATCATCTGCCAAACTAGCGCAACATTTATGGAACAAAAGCACATTCCGTAGTTGTACCGATGGAGCTGCTAATTTCATCATGTCGCTTGTCAAGTAAGCCTTTATTAACGTAGTTTTGTTGAGGCTTCGAGTTATAAAAACTTGAATAGAGCTTCCAGGAATGAAAATTACGTAATACCTGATTTGATTTCTGGCGATTTCGATTCCATTACCGTTGCGGCGAGGAAATTCTTCGAATCAGAGGTTGAAATTGTGGAAACTCCTGATCAAGACTACACCGACATGTGCAAAGCACTGCAAATTATTGCTGATAGGATGAGAAATAGAAAACTGGATGTATGTTGAGCAATTTTCCAGGTCATTCAAGAAGTTTTTGAGTTGTTCCATTGAAAAGTGACAGCAGTTGTTGTGAACTACGACGTCTTCTTAAGATCTCATGGACAAAGTTTAAGATTTCAAAAGTTATTGTTTTGGGCGGACTCTTTGGGCGTTTTGATCATGTATTGTCATCCCTACATTCACTGCTACGATTCGATAGCTGCGAAATTGCAATTATTGATGGTGTTAATCTGGTCACGATTTTGCGTGAGGTACAAAAGCTTTATTCCCAATTTACAAACTATGCACAAGAGATTGAATTTGTGATTGCATTCTTGGTAATTTCAGTGTTGTGTGATATTGGCATCTATTTGCCTGATTTTAGGGTTCTACGAGCTTAGAGTTCGCTGGAGGCCAGCATCTTTTAACAGGAAAATGTGGCATTATCCCCTTAATCCAACGCAAAACGATGGTTTCATCGAATGGCTTGAAATGGAATTTAGGTACTGGAATAAAATCTTCTACAATCTTCCCTGACAATCTCATGCTATCGTTTTCTGGAGTTCACTAGTATCGCCAGTTAAAATCTCAAGTAATTAAACGCGCATAGCCCGCAGTAAATTT